CTCCTCCGCTGTCACACTCCCCGCCAGCGGCGGTCGTCAGCCTCAGCCCTGGCCACGGACGTCGGTCCTCCTCGGGCGGGTCGGCCGCGACCATGGCTCTGCGCTGCGCCGCCCGCTCTGCCAAGACCTCGCGGACACCCAACGCCGCTGCAGCGCCGCGCGGCTTCTTGCGACCCCCTGGGCCGCCGGGCTTGAGCTTCGCCCGCAACTCCGCGAGGCGCCTCTCCAGGTCTGGCCTGCGCTACGCGCCGCGCTGACATCCTTGGGGGCGTCGCGGGCGTCGTCGTTCGCGCCGAACGCGTCGCACTTCGGGGCCTCGCCCCTCTCGCTCGCAGGCGGCGTCGGGGGGCCCCCGATGGGGAGCTGTGGCGGCGGGCGAGAGGCATCGAGGTCGGGGCACAACCGGCACGACTCTACCTGAACCAGCTCTCTGCCCTGGTCTGGAGCAGCGACCAAGCAATCACCTGCAGCGCCTTCGGAAAAGCGCACGGATCCGTCACCACCAGGGCCACATAGCAGTGATGACAGCATGACGGCGCCCGACCCCTTCACCACGTCCATGAACTCGCCCGCCAAGAAGCAGCCGTTCCTGTCATCGAAGGTGAAAGACCCGCGACCATGGTGAAATTCCTGGCCACGCCCCGGCACCCACCCTTGCACTCGAGCACCTCGCCGTCCCTCACGGCAGTGAGCGGCGTGCACCAGTCGTCCTGGTCACTCGTCTTCCAAGGCTCGGGGCGCCACACCTTGGGCGCCGCTTTCGCCTGTGTCGCAGCCTTGCCGGGAGGCCTGGGACGGGGCGGCGGCTTTTCGTCGTCGACGAGCGCGGGAAACTCATCTTCGGGCATGCTCTGCCCGCGGATGCGTCGCTTCTCCTTTGGTTTCGTCCCGCCGCCCCCGTCATTGGCCGCGGCAGGCCGCTTGTGAGCCCCGCCTGTCCCAGGCGGCGAGACATACGCAGGGCGGCCCTTCTTGATCGTCCCCGCCCCACTGGCGACGCTCCCCCCGCGGGCGCCGCGGGCCCACCGCCTGCGGGCTGTATGGCCAGCTGCGCGCGGGCGAGCGCGACGGCCACATAGGCGCTTCCACAAGGGCAGGGGGCGGCGGTGATTCGCCTTAGGCGTCTTCGATCCGCCGTTTTCTGTGCTTGTCACAGGGGTGCCCAGCGTGCTAGACGCTTCCGTTTTTGGTATATGTTCGTTTCCAAAAGAACTGCCCCTGGGGTTCCGTCCCAGCCCTCCGGCCACCCAGAAGGGCGCACAAGGCCCAGAAACGACCTCAGCGTCCACAAACAAATATCCGGGTCAATGCCTTTTGCCGCTCCAAGATGACCCTAGACGGCCTCCAAGACTGCTCAGATGGCCCGAGATGGCCTCCAAGTTCGCCCAATATGATCCAATACGGCCTCCACGACGGCCCAGGAGGGTCCAAGATGCCTCCAAGTCGGCCCAAGAAGCCTTCAAGACAGCCCAAGAAGCCCCCAAGAGGCCTCCAAGAGGCCTCCAAGAGGGCCTCCAGGAAAGCCCGAAGAGGCCAAAATCACATATTATCCTTAGGTTGTGGAAGGACTTTGGCATTTGTTTTTTTGCGGCCTTCCGACGGCCCGAGACGGCCCAAGAGCCCAGAAAGATCGCCCAAGAGGCCTCCAGGACGGCCCCAGAACGGCCCAACATATCCCCAAGATGTCCCCAGAACTGCTCTAAGAGGGCCCCCAGGCAGGCCCGAAGCGGCCAAAATCACTGATTTCCCTTAGGTGTTTGAAAGATGTTGGCATGTGTTTCTGTCCGGCCTTCCGACGGCCCGAGACGTCCCAAGTGCCCCCAACGATCGCCCAAACATCGCCCAAGAGGCCTCCAAGATGACCCCAGAACGGCCCAAGAGGCCCCCAAGACATCCCCAGGAGAGCCCTAAGACGGCCCATGAGGCCTCCAAGAATCCCAAGATAGCCTCCAAGACGGCCCTGGAGCACCCCAAGAGGGCCCCCAGTCGGCCCAGAGAGGCCCCAAAGACGTCTTCCGACGGCGTCAGACGGGCCAGGAGCCCACCAAGATGGCCAAAGAGGCCCCCGAGAAGCCCCCAAAGGCCCCCAAGAGGCCCAAGGAGGCCCCGAAGATGCCTCCAAGAGGCTCCCAGGAAGCTCCCAGGAGGCCCCAAGAGTATCCCCTCCTCCTCCTCCTCCTCCTGATCTTCCCCGCCATCCTCCCCTCAGTGTTCCCCGAAGGGTTTCCACAACGGTTTGGGAACACATGGGCCGATAGCTTCGCAGAGCTCTTACCACAACGCTCGGCCACATGGGCGATCGTAGAAAGCATGTGGCGGCGGTGATTCGCCGTAGGCGTCTTCGATCCGCCGCCCCCTGTTGATTTATCACAAGGGTGCCTGGCGTTCTAGACCCAACTGGTTTTGCCTTAGTTCTTTTCTTAAAAGAACTCTCCCCTGGGCCTCCAGTCAATGCCGCTGGCCACCCGGAAAAAATGGTTGACGTGCCTCCCCAACGGCCGTCTCGCTAGGGACATCGTCAACAAATCAAGATCCTGGGCCCAGATGGCCCAAGATGGCCGCCAAGATGGCCCAAGAGGGTCCAAAATGGCTCCGAGTCCGCCCAAGAAGCCTCCAAGATGGCCCAAGACGGCCCAAGGGTCCCCAAGAGCCGTCCAAGACGGCCCAAGAGGCCTCCAAGAGGTCCTCCAGGAGGACCCGAAGAGGCAAGAATCATGGATTCCAATAGGTTTTTGAAGGATTTAGGCATTTGCGTCTTTTCAGTCTTCCGACAGCCCAAAGCGGCCCAAGAGGTCCTCCTCATGCTCCTCTTCCTCCTCCTCTTCCTCCCTCTCCTGATCATCCGCCTCATCCTCCTGGAAGTGTTACTCCTTTTCCAGAACGGCTGGGGAAACACATAGTCCGATAGCTTTGCCAAGCTGGGGTCCAACGTTTGGTCACAGAGGCGCTTCCAGGCAGGGGGCGGCGGTGATTCGCCGTAGGCGTCTTCGATTCGCCGCCCTCTGTTGATTTGTCACAGGGGTGCCTGGCGCGCTAGACTTCTTATGAGTTGGTTTTGGTTCTTTTCCCAAAGAACCCCCCTGAGGCTTCGGCCTGTCCCGCCGGCCACCCGAAAGGCCCCCAAACGAGCACAACGTCGATAAAAACTCTTCAAGACGGCTCAAGATGGATTCTCAGATGGTCACGTTGGCTCAAGATGGCCTCCAGGATGGCCCAGGATGGTCCAAGTTGCCTCCACGTCAACCGAAGGAGTCACCAACACGGCTCAAGATGGCTCCAAGATGCCTCCAAGTCCGCCCAATAAGCCTCCAAGATGGCCCAAGACGGCCCAAGAGGCTACCAAGACGCCCCCAAGACGTCCCCCAGGAAGGCCCGAAGAGGCCAAAATTATTGATTTCCCATAGGTGTCTGAAGGATTTGGGCGTTTGCTTCTTTTCTGCCTTCCGACAGCCCAAGACAGCCCAAGAGGCCCCCGAGATCGCTCCAAGATGGCCCCAAAGGCCTCCAAGATGACATCATGACGGTCCAAGAGGGCCCCAACACGGCCCAAGAGGCCTCCAAGACGCCCAAGATGGCCTCCAAGACGGCCCTGGAGCATCCCAAGAGGGCCCCAAGTCGGCCCAGAGAGGCCCCCAAGACGGTTTCAGACGGCGTCAGACAGGCCAGGCGGCCATCAAAAAGGCCCAAGATGGCTCTAAGAAGACTCCAAGACGGCCCCAGAGGCCCCCCAAAGGTTTCCAAGTTGGCCTTCAGGAGGGCCCGAAGACGCCAAAATCATGGATTGCCCATGGGGTTTGAAGGATTTGGGCATTTGCTTTTGCTCGGCCTTCCGACGGCCCGAGACGGCCCAAGAGCCCCAAAGATCGCCCCAAGAACACCCAAGAGGCACCCAAGATGGCCCCGGATTGGCCCAAGAGGCTCCCAAGAGGCCCCCAAGGGCCCCAAGACGGCTCAAGAGGCCTCTAAGACGCCCAAGGTGGCCTCCAAGACGGCCCTAGAGCACCCCAAGAGGGCCCCAAGTCGGCCCAGAGAGGCCCCCAAGACGGCTTCCGACGGCGCCAGATGGGTCACGAATGTTTTAAGACGGCCTACGAGGCCCCCGAGAAGCCCCCCAAGGCCCCCAAGAGGCCCAAGGAAGCCCCCAAGATGCCTCCAAGAGTCTCCCAGGAAGCTCCCAGGAGGCCCCAAGAGTGCCAGCAGAGGATCCCAAGATGCCCCCTTTTTTTTCCTCCTCCTCCTGATCTTCCCCGCCATCTTCCCCCAAGTGTTCCCCGAACGGTCTCCTCAACGGCTGGGGAAGCACATTGTCCGATAGCTTGGCAGAGCTCTTGCCACAACGCTCGGCCACATGGGCGATTCCAACAGGCACGGGGCGGCGGTGATTCGCCGCAGGCGCATTTGGCATAATCGGACATACATCGAGTTACATGGAGAAAGAGAGAGAGAGAGAGGGATAGAGACAGAGGAAGGAAGGAAGGAAGGAAGGAAGGAAGGAAGGAAGAAAGGAAGGAAGGAAGGGAGGCAGATAAAAGAGAGAAAGAGAGAGGAGAGATACATATAGCGAGAGGGGAAACAAATAGAGACACGTCCTCTTCCTCCCTGCCTTCCTTCCGTTCCTTCCCTTTCTCCGGCCCAGCTCATCTTCCTCCCTCCCTCATGATCCTGATCCTCGCACTGCATTCCCTCATCCTCCTCCGCCTCCTCCTCCTCCGCCTCCTCCTCCTCCTCCTCCTCCTCCTCCTCCTCCTCCTCCTCCTCCTCCTCCTCCTCCTCCTCCTCCCCCTCACCCTCCTCACCCCTCCTCTCATCCCTCCTCCCGTAACCGCCCGTCCTTCCTCCCTCTTCCACCCCGCCTTCCTGCCGCATCCACCCCATACCCCCTCTCCTCTCCTTAATGACGCTGCTGCTCATCGTCTACCCACTCCTCATCCTCCAGCTCCTCGCCTGCTGCGGGGGGATAGCGAATAGTCTGACGACTGGGAAGGGCGTTCCCGGCCCACTATGCTGTCGACCATCTCGTCGAACTTCGGGGTCTCGTCCACCATGGCAGGCGTCCAGATGAAGAAATAGTACATCATCACCTGAGAAGGGTGAGGCTCATGAGGAGCAGGATGAGGCGGCAGGGGTTCGATGTGGGGTTATGGGGCAGGAATCGGCACCTCCCCCCCACACATAATGATCCAGGATGATCCACCGCCCGATTATGATCCTGGTCGGGCTGGCCACACCCAAAATCCCAATGCGCGGAACGCCCACCGATCGAGGGGCGGACTGACCTCCTTGATGCCGATGGATCGACGGGTTGGCCAGATCGGCGCCTGACCTTGCCCAGATCAGCGGGCCGGGGCCATCTGGGGCCCGAACTATCGGCAAGACAACCATGGTCTGCGCTATGCGGTACAGGCCTTCTGGGGTGCCCGATCTCGCGGTGCAGTAGGCCACGAACAGCATCAGGATGTAGATTGCGAAGATCAGCGCGAACGTCGCGTGAAAGAACAAATCCACCGCCTCCCCTTTGGGGGAGCGCACGTCCACCTGTGCAGGTTGCTCGAGGTACGGTGCCTTGCTGGTGCCTACTGTGCTCTGTACTCTCTCTCTTTCTCTCGCTCTTGTCCTGACCTTTCGTCTGCCTCCTGTCTCCCCTTCGCGGGTGAAGAACGGCATAACATATACTTTTCCGCCTTCGGGGGGGCCTGCCCCCTGGGCGGCTAGAAAGTTTATACTCCGGATTCCATAACAAAGTGGGGGGGGTCACACACGGGGGGGGGTCGAATTTGAGCTGTCTTGGAGGGTTCGCGGGGGGTCTGGGCAGAGGGCCGCCCTTTCATGGATAGTCTGGGGGGCCTAAAACTTCTCGTCTGGGAGGGTTGTGACCCCCTCCCTTTTATTACGAAATCTGGGGTACCCCCACACGGCACCCTTGGGGGGCATGAACGTGGCAACCGCCTGGGGGGGCAGGCGCTCCCGACGGCGAAGACAACCTCTTGCATCCCGTCCTTCGCCCCCCCCGACATCCCCGGCGGGCCCCGCGATGGCCCGGCAGGGGCCCAAGACGTCCACTGAGCCCAGACCTGTAAAGCTGAAGGGGCCCAAGGACACACAAATACATACACACACACAAATAGAAGGATTCCCCATATTTTTCCATATATTTTCTGGGTTTTTGTCTTCCCCCCCCCACTTCCCATATTTTCCTATATTTTCTGGGGAATCGACGATTTCTTGTGTCTGAGTGTTTCTTTCCCTCCTGGCTGTAAAGCCCCGGCGTGGCTCGGAGCGGAGAGGCGGGCAGAGCACAAGGCGCAGCCCTTCGGATACACGGAGGGGTCGTGCGTGGCGAAAGCGGCCAGCGGGTCTCTGCCGGTGGTGAGCGCGAAGGCGCCGGCGCACAAGTTCGTCATCAAGAAGTCGATGTGACAAAACAGCAGCACCTGGACGGTTCCACACTTCGAGTAGGAGATCGACTGCAGAATTGTCTTACCCCCAGAACAAACATCTTCGTCGAATATACGGAACAAATGGAATGTTCGTAGATCTACGAACAGTCTACGTATTCTCGTAGATCCGCCCGGGAAATCAAATCTGGGGTACATCAATTCTGTAGTCGACCTCCTACTCGAACATTCCTCCCTGGCATTGTGCTGCTCCTTCGTCCTTCTCGTACTCATCCTTCTCCCCCCGCTCTTGCTCCTGCTTCCTGCTCCCAAGCTAGCCCTGCGTCGATTCGGGAAATCGTAATCGCAGCGCCTCGAACCTGGTCGCTGCGAATCGCCGGCGGATCGAATCGGGAACCAGATCGCGATCGGCCAAATCAAACCGCGAACTGGATTGCGATCGGGTCGAACTGAATCGCAAACCTGCTTGCGCGAGCAGGCCAACGCGAATTGAATCGCGAACCGGATCGCGTGAGCGGAACGATGGAGGACCAGCCCCCTCCAGTGACATACACCCGCCCTGGCTGGTGACCCACTCCTCCCGGTGAACCACCCCCCCTGTGACCCACGCTCCTCAGGACCTCCCCCAAGAGGTACCCGACACCCTCCGGAAATTCTCCCTCGGGTCTCCCTGGGTGACCCATTCTCCCCGGGAAGTCTACCCCGGTGACCCACCCTCCCCGTGCTGTTGCTGCAGACTCCCGCAGTCACGCAGGCTCGATCTTCAAAGCGAGCAGGCTTAGGCTGGACTCGCTACCTCACCAGTGAGCGAGCTCCGAGACAGAAAAAACTTCGATCCCCTCTCGCACCACTTGTTTGCTTGAGAAGGTTTCCAGGGCCCAAAAAGGGAAAAAGGGGGTTCAGCGGGGAGGGAATGGGTCGGTCATCAGGGGGGGTAACCGGAGGTGTGGCTCACCGGGGGAGGGGTGTGTCACAGGGGAGGGGTGGGTGACCCGGGGGGTTGGGTCACCGAGGAGTGGTGGGTCACCGAGGAGGGGGTGGGTCACCAGGGAGGGGTGCATGGGTCACGGGGGGTGGGCGGGGTCGCAGGGGGGGGGGGGGATGGGTCACTGGACGGGTGGGTCACCGGGGGACGGGTGGGTCACGGGGGAGGGGTGGATCACCCAGGAGAGAGGGTTGCCTTCTAGGCCTCCTGCCCCCCTCCACCTCGTCAGACGACGACGACGACGATGACGACGACGACAGACGACGACGACGCCGACGACGACGACAACGACGACGACGACAGACGACGACGACGGACGACAGACGACAGACGACATACGACAGAAGTCAGGCGACAGACGTCATGCGACAGACGACAGACGACAGACGATAGACGACAGACGACAGACGCCAGACGCCAGACGACGACGACGATGGACGGAGAGCGACAGACAACGGACTACGGGAGACAACGACGACGACGACGACGACGACGACGACGACGACGACGACGACGACGGACGACGACGACAACGACCGACGACGACGACAGACGACGACGACGACCGACCGACCGACCGACCGACCGACCGACGACGACATACGACGACGACGACAAACGACGACGATGATGACGATGATGACGACGACAGACGACGAACAACGGGCGATGCACGACGACTGACGACGACGGACGGAGAGCGACAGACGACGGACCACGGAAGACGACGACGAACCAACGGTACACCCGGGGTGGCACCCGCGGGCGCTCTGCATCCTGTCTCCTCCCCTCCTCCTCCTGCTCCTTCCGCCTCCTCTTCCCCTTCCTGCTGCCGGCGCCGACCCAACTCGCCAATGGCATCGGACCGTCGCACGCCTTGCACGGGACCTGAACCGAATCGCTGGGCATCCAGATCGAAATCGTAATCGAATCATGGCGGGAGGCCTCTTGCATCGAATCGGCAACCCTGGCGATTCGGCTTGCCAAACCAGATCGAACCGGATCGAATCGAGTGCGGTCCTGGCTCCCCCTCCGCCTCCGCTTCTGCCTCCAAGACATCCTTCTTGCTGCTGCTCCTCCTACCCTGCTCTCCCACTCTACTCTTCATCCAACCTCCTCGTTTGCGTTCTCATCGTCGACCACTTGCTCGCACTTTCCCTCCTCATCCGTCTCCCCCTCCTCCTTGTCCTCCTCCTTGTCCTGATCCTCCTCCTCCTCCTCCTCCTCCCCTCCTCCTCCTCCTCCTCCTCCTCTTGCTCCTCCTCCCCTCCTTCTCCTCCCTCGGCCGCGCCTCCTCCTCCTCCTCCTCCTCCTCCTCGTCCTCCTCCTCCTACTTTTCCTTCTCCTCCTCCTCGTCCTCCTCCTCCTCCTCCACCGCCTCCACACTCTCCTCTACCCCTCCTTTCTCCATGCTACCATCCCTCTCCACCTTCTCATCGTCTTGCGTTTCTTCCCCCTTGCCTGCCTCTTCCTCCTCCGTTTACATCCTCTCCCTCCCTTCTCCTCCAGGAAACCGGTCTGAGCTTGCAGACGATTCTGGTGAGGCAGCACACGGTGCAGACCAAAGGGACGAGGACGGACCCGTACACCAAGAAGCCGCTGGCGCCATTGTTTCAGACCGCCTGCCCTTCGTAGTTGAATGAGAGAAGCGCAACGACGCTTGGCCGATTCTTTTCCTCATGCTGCCTCCTCCTCCTCATCGCCGATATTCGGGCCAACCCATCCGTCCTGGCCAACGGTGGCTAATGTGCAACAGCCCCGATTCTTTGCGGGGGTCGAAGTGCTAGCGCAGGACCGAATGAATACACATTCGTGCCACCTTCGTATGGCAGTAGATCGACGCGATACTGTCGGCGCCAGTGTGCCAGTGACACATTCGAATGCATAAGAAGAGCGTTGGCAAATACATATACTCGCATGCACGCGAACAACATGACACCTGCACCTTCGACTACATCCTTATCCGGTTCGTGAATATACGGCTCCTGACCCGCAACACCAATCATCCTCATCATCAATACCACCACCATCATCATCATCATCATCATCATCATCATCATCATCATCATCATCATCACCATCAGCATCATCATCATCCTCATCCTGATCCTCATCATCATCATCATCATCATCATCATCAGCAGCATCATCGTCAGCATCATCATCCCAATCACCAACACATAATAACACAAATAAATAAAGACCTGAGTGCCGGCAACCACGGCTCTACCTGGCTGGTATGCTTTTTTATCTTCGCATGCAGCATGCCCACGTCCTCCTGCCGTCGCTGCGACCGCCCAACAACATGCATGCAACCAGCTCTCGCTACTTGACCATCGTCATCCACCCATGTTCTGCTGCTGCTGCTGCTCATCGCTCCTGTTGCGTCCTCCTCTTCCTCCTCCTCCTCCTTCTTCCTGTCCCCAACTCTGCCACTCTCGTCATACCACCTTCGTTTCTCCTCCCCCCTTTCCTTCTTCCCGTCCTCCTCTTCCTCCTCTTCCTCCTCCTCGTCCTCTTCCTCCTCCTCCTCCTCCTCCCCCCCTCCTCCTCCGCTCGTTTTCCTTATGAATAACTCCTCCGCGTCGCCCCCCGAAGCCGGTCGAACCCCCAGTACCCTGGAGAGTGTTCTAAGCCCAGACGGGGTGGCCTGCGCGCGCCGACATTTTGGCATGGTAACAAAAAAAGTCTGGCGCGCCAGCGCCGGCGCCTGCAGCGACGCGACGGCGTCTGCCCCCCAGGAGGAGCGAGGAGGAGGAGCGAGGAGGAGGAGCGAGGAGGAGGAGCGAGGAGGAGGAGCGAGGAGGAGGAGGAGGAGGAGCGAGGAGCGAGGAGGAGGAGGAGCGAGGGAGCGAGGAGGAGGAGCGAGGAGGAGGAGCGAGGAGGACGAGGAGGAGCGAGGAGGAGGAGCGAGGAGGAGCGAGGTTGCCGGGGCCACCAGGGCACGATGGGGGGATGGCGGGGGTGACTGCGTTTTACCGCGGGCGGCTCCTGCGCTGGATAGAAACCAACGCCCGCGGCGCCTGCGGCAACAGCGCGGTGCAACGAGGATACGCCCGCGCCCTAATCTTTGACGCGCCCACGGCGCCTGCGCAATGGCCGCGCGCAGCGCCCCGCAGGCATAGATCGAATGCCCCCGCGGTGCATGCGATGAC